TGTGTGTGTGTGTGTGTGTGTGTGTGTGTGTGTGTGTCCTTTATTCTTAAGGTTTACTAAACTGGTAAATGAGTCACTAATCTTTAGGTGTTGTTATATTGTTTTTATTTATGGTACGCCAACTTACTCAAGAAGCAGAACCAGAAATTMTTACTGTGGTTCTGTAACATAATATATAATGTGGATGATTTTAAAACTGTCTAAACCAGTGGTTCCCAAACTTTTTGTCTTCTGACCCACAAAATATCCATGGAAAAAACTTGCGACCCCAAATATTACTGGTCTGAGTACACGAACTTCGTTCATAACCCTAAAAACACAGGCTTTTTGACAATCTAAACAACTTGTACACAAATACTTATTTATACTTATTTTGTGTTTTTGTAATAATTACAGGGAAAATATTACATCATCAATTATTTTATTACCCTTTAAATTGATTTCTGGAGATTATCCAAGGTRCTTCATGACCCATAATTGGGTTCCAAGCCCAACTTTGGGAACCAAAGTGCAGTGGTTCCCAAACTTTTCAGCTTTTGACCCATAAAATAACAATAGCAGAGACCTGTGCCCACAACTAGTTTTGGATGATAAATGTTTGTATCAGGTCAACAAAACATGGGCATAGTAACAATATTTTTATACAACATTTATCCATTTTAAAAACACTAACCTCACTCATTTGTAACAACTAAGGCAAAAATGTAATTAATTTAGAAAATCTTTTCAGGACCCCACCTTGATGTTTCAGGACCCCACTTTGGGTCCCGACCCCAACTTTGGGAAATACTGGTCTAAACGGTTGACTTATGCAAGAACAGCAGCTGGACAGTCAGCATTTATCCGATGACACGTCCTCTGTGTGTGATGGTGCACTGATGAAGGCTGTGTGGACAGCAGGACCCTGGTGATCCAGCCACCATCGTGCCTGAAGTGTAACTCTGGAGTGTCAGAGCAGCATGAACGTGCCCCGTCAGAGAAATTCAGGTGATAACAGGAAGATCACACGCTTCACCCAGACATACAGGGAGACACGCCAGCTCCAGAGAGCAAACTGTTCCTCGCACAATGTGCAGGGCGCTCCGATGAAAACACGAGAGAGATGCACTGACAACGTGAGACCAGCCGAGGGGCTTCGGTTTCAGAGACGTGCCTGAAACTTGTTTTGCTGAGTGTTCATGAGGCCAAGTGAAGAGTTTCAGGGTCGTGTCGGAGCACAGGTCTGAAATGAACCCTGCAGTAAGTCACCAGCAGGTGAGGCTGGATGCTCGGGAGCTGCAAGTTTTATTGCAGTTTTTACTGATAATAAAGAACTGTGTTTTCATACATTCATTTTAGAGTCAAAACACTGTTTGCAGTCTGTTGTCCCTCACTGTTTTGTGCTCATTTTGACTTACTGCTAGTAAAACTAAAAGCACACTACTCACAATTAAATCATATGTTTGAGTAGTTTTTTAAAGCTGCGCAACAACACACAGGACAAAACTTTAACAAGAACAGTAAACTGTGAAAATGCAAAGTGAATGCCAATAGTGTATGACTTGAGATATTCAGTGAAAGAGCTGAAATTGAGAAAGTTAAAAAAACAAAACAAAATAGCTAAAAGTAAAAAAAGCAAAAGGCTAACTGAAAGCTAATAATAGCATAATGTTAGATAAAAGTAGCCGATGGTTTCCTAAGCAAAAGGCTAAAGCAGAAGCTTGCTAAAAGCTAAAAATAGCAAAGACTTAAATATAGTACCTGGTGGATCTAAACGTGAAATACTTTGGTCTACCATCATGAAACAGAACTTTAATATTTTGTGTGTTTCCCAGAATGGAGGAGGAACTACGTTGTTGCTCACCACAACACACTAAATACATTATTTTAGTTTTCAGATCCTCACTTTTGTTCTGCTTTGTGGAACAAAGAGTTAGCTCCGGCCTACAGACCAAATCCTCTGAGCTCACAGTTTGACGTATTTGAATCCAGGGAGGTTTCTCTCGTTACAGCATGTTCCAGGCCCCACCTGTACAGCAGTTCTTTTAGGTTTTTAGATTTTTTCCTAAAACAAACAAGTAACAAAGCTACTCAGTRTCATTTTCCTGCTGTCAGGAGAACAAATATAGTTGGTTTTAGATTATGAACCAAAGAGTAACAAGATTTTGAAATGTTTAAAAAAATAAAAAGTCTGATCAGTGGAGAACCTAAACCTGAGAAAATACAGCTGATTGAGCAATAAAACTCACGCCTGATTAATGTACGATTTTTAAACAACAATAAATACCTGAAAAGAAAGAAGAATCTAAGAAACATTTCAGTGCAAAATTTTATTGCCCACCTCCAAAGGCAAAATACGTTTCAGCCCATGTCTGTATGTAGCCTATATGTTCTGTTAGTAAAATATCTCATGAGTGAGATTTTAATACAATTCTCATAAAGTAAATACAACTGATTAACTTTTAAAATCAACCCAAGTCAAGATGGCCAGTAGGACTGCAMGATATTAGGAAAACCTGCGATGTGATGACGATATAGCTTGGAATAAATGAGCAAATACATAAGTAAATGTTGTTGATGTCTTTCTGCTCTGGGTTCAGAGAAAAAAAATTAAAATTTCATTCCAACATGAATTTTTTTAAAGTATGAATGGCTCCATCTGATTGGTGCAATATTTCAAGCTTCTGTCTGAGTGACAAAACTCATAAAGCCAAAACATTTAATGTAGTTTATGCAGTTTTTTGCGACGTGCCTATCACACTGGCTGTAATCACAAAGACGATAAATTTTCCATGTATTGTGCAGCCCTAATGGAAAACCAAACAGAAATGGCTATAACTCAGTCAGTTCTGAGCTAGTAGCYGAGAGGCATTCTCAACATAGTTTTATCCCTAAAACGTTTCAAAAGAACCTGTAATGCTGCATGAGATCATGCATGACATAATTTACGTTTTGTCTGAAATAGTTTCTCATATTACCATGATCTTAGTCTTTAACTCTTGCAGAAAATGCAGCAGGTGATATGCATTTCTTCAAGACATTCTAGGTTTTTCTTTATTTTAGGATTTAAAAAGGTACAACACTCACACTGATTTAAACATGCAAGCACTGCTGGCGTTAACTTGTTTTCAATGTGACATTTAAGCCTGTCCAGTACAAACAATGTTAAAAATAAAGTCCAGCTCCTTTATATCCCTCAGCTGACACTGTATACAGGTAATAAAAGGGACATCTGAGCAAAGGAGGGAGCTCCTTTAGAGACAAGAGTCCTAGAAAGACCTTAAGTCCTGCATCATGTCCAAGGCGTCATGTCCTTACAGTTAAGACATTCTGAACACCTCTAAAAATAGCCRCAACAAAAATAGACAGTCATCACACGAAATCAGTAATGCCTCTTAGATATGACAGAGTGTGCTGGGCAGGCAGCTTTCACACTTGGATTATCCTGATCCCACCCTGAGGTCACTCCTGCACAGCTGCTTCCTCTCAGACTAAACTTTTTTTTTCTTAAATTAGCGCAGAGATCGAGTTAAAATGTGTTCATATTTAAAAGATAAATAAGTAGAAAAACTGGAAGACAGTAGAGCTTTCAGTAAGTTTAAATGCATTTTGTTTGGAAATGGCTTTTAGAGTCTGCAGATCATTTTACATGTAAAATGCAAATAAGTGGCGCCATCTACTGGTCTATGTATTCAGACACAAAAAGGACTTCCTGACTTGGAAACAGCTTTAATATCTACAAAACGCCTAGATATCACACAGTGGACAAGCACTAATATTCAATGCTCACAAGAAAGAGATATTTGTTGAAAATATCAGAATATTTACAGGTGAGCTTAATGTGACCTTTGAACTTTTGAATGCACATGTCCAAATGTTCAGTGTTTTAACTTGCCTTTTATAAACAAGAAGCTTAATGGCAAAACTCACAGCAGGGGTTTGAATTGACCATTCTTGGTTCAGTTATATACTTCAGCAGCGCTCCTCATCATGCTGTTCACTTTGAGATCAAGACAACACTTGGAAAATATCCCTAACTAATGTCCAGTTCAAACAAATTTGTATTGTTTAAGGGAATTGTTCAGTATTTTTTTAAAATGGAACATTGAAGGTGTATTGTGACATCACCTGACAGTGTCAGTGGTAAAATAAACAAAACAAAAATGGTACAGGCCAAAATTAGAATCAGCAGGTCAGACTTTAAGATTGGTGTTTGGCCAGAAAACTGCGGTCTCCACCCTAATAAAAGCCTACACAATCTGAGTCCTGAAAAAATATGGATTTTTAATAGAAAAAGGTGTTGGAAATCTGATGAGACAAACTTGAACATGCTGCAAAATTAAACCTCAGACCCAAAAGGACACTAATTGGATACACTACTCACAAAATTAAGGTAGAGCTAACAGGAGAGAGAAAAAAAAGTGGCTGATTTTCAGACCTTTGGAGGTACATGAGAAGCTGATCTTTTCCACCGATCTTAAGTATCGGCCAGTCTCCCAAACCTAAGGAAATTCACTCCCCCTTTTTAAATAAATCATAAAAAAATAAAATGCTTGTCAATTTAATGCAAATATTTGCATATTATTTTTAGACATAAGCTGCAAAGACCATAAAAAAACAGAAATTGTGGACAAGTTTATCAAGCATCTCAATCTTTCTGTAAAATGTGTTTCTTGGATAAAACTGTTTATAGTAAAATGGAAAGCAAGGCTGTGTTGTGACTGAAAAGTTGAATCCTGTACATTTAGGTAGATCTGCAGGAATACAGCCTCAAAATGAAAGATGACAAACGTGGTGATGCAAACTGAGGTTAGGACTCATCTGAAGACCTGCCAACATTAACGATGTGAAATTAGCAATCTGGGCCCRTATTTATCAAACTTCTTAGAATTACTCATAAGAACGCTGCTAAGAGTGGACTTATATGTAAAATAATTCTTAGTTAAAAGCTGAGAGTAAAAGTCAGTTATCAAGCGTCTCAGTCTCACTTTAAGTGAAGTGTAGGAGTAATTCTTAAATGTCAGTCTTGGAGCTGTTTTGCGACACCTGGCTGTGCCGCAAAGATGATCCTGGATGACGTCGTTAGAAAAAACACCGGCATGGACCAATCACTGCCTCTGATTTCATGTTCAAGAATGTTGTTGGGGAAATGTCAAGATAARACTGTTAAAATCCTAAGATAAGTTCACTTTCAGCACACTAATGTTGTCACCTTGTACTGATTATAAATTACATCAACTGTTCTCATTTGCATCATGATAACAGGTTCTTTTTATCAAAAACTCAGCAGCTCAGTTTTTTTTCCTCAGAGCCTGAGGTAATGTGAGGTCATGTTGAGCAGCTACCTCCTCTTCACCGCTGACAGACAACACCGGCCACACACACACACACACACACACACACTGTAACAGCTTGGTCCGACAGGAGCGTACAGTGGCAACTCTTAACACTTTTGAGTCCTCTGGAGCAGTCTGAACTTTTCTCAGGATTAAAAGTGATTCTTAGACTTAAGAATTTTCATAACTGGCACTTACACTTAAGTCTGAGAGTAGGAGCAAATCTAAAAGAATTTCAGCACTGAAGTCTAAAAATCCACTCTAAGTTTTATAAATACGGGCCCAAAGCAACTACTGTTAGAACCTAAACCATGGTAAACCTGAAACCTGTGCGCACATTAAATTCACAATTRGTCAAAAACTTTGACAGACAAAAAGATCCATTAAAAAATGAATTAGGACGACATCATGAGGATTTGTACCTTTTATTCAAAATGTGAAAATCTGCTTGGAGCAAGTTTTAGAAATATTTAAAAAAAGGAAATGTTTGATGAAACCAAGCACAGACTATTGTTAAGGATAACTAATTCACTTCAAAGCACTCTTATTCTTAGCAGGACAGTGGTAGAACTGGTTCACACAAAAGGTTTTTCTGATTTAAAGAATCGAAACCCTCACACCCACTTTCATGAAAAAAATTACTGTGCTAGACCAACAAACAGATTTGCAGCACAAAAGATGCAATTTTACAACCATTACAGGTAACAGATTTGAATAAGCTACAATTCTAACAAGATTAAAACAAGGATAACAACATTACTGCAAGCTAATGGGCAGAAAACCCACGCATCTTGTCGCTAAAAATGACATTCAAAATGAAAAAAGAAAGAAATTTAAACATTTTTAAAACATAACTAAAAGACCTGTGGAGGTAGCATCTAACGCTATGGTTGGGCTGCAGCAAGTGAAACTCACTGCTTCCCAGACCAGGGGAGGGTAGCAGGAGCCCTAACACTTGGGCTTAGGTTGTTGGTGGGCTTCAGGTGCAGTCTGCAGGAGAGAAATAAATAAATAAAATATTTAAGACTAAAATATATGCATCAACACATCAAGTGTTGTTAAGCAGACAACTTACATGTTACTCTGCTGTGGGGTTTGCCCCCACACAAACGGAGGAGCAGGATCTTCATCTACCTCTGCAGACAAACATTACTGTTACACACTCATCTGTTCAAAACACAACATCAGCTTCACACAAAACTGACAATTACATGCAGATAATCTTTACAATCTTTCCTCTTCAAAACATTAAAGAATAAATCATGTTTTGTTGAGCTTACCTTTGTCCCAGTCCTCAGACATGTTTGGGTTGACCCATGTGCTAACTGGGACGTGCCAGCCTCTACTGGTGTTTCCAGCTGTTCAAAAATAAATAAAAAGATAAAGGATTTTTTCCTAAACTGCTACAAGAGAAAAAAAAAGTATCTGATCAAGACAACCACACAAAGATCTCACTACCGTCTGGGTCCACAGATACCCGGTCCTCACAGGTCTCAACGTGGTACGCCAGCTCATGTTTCTGAACCAGGTGTCGAGCGTTATAGGGACAGGTCTTCAGTTCACTCGCCAACTTTGGGTGGTTCTTCAGACATAAAACCAGGCAGCTGAGTCAGCATCTTACAGTTCAAATCTGACAACTAAAACAAGCAGGTGTCCATGTTTCCCCCACCAGTGGTTTTATTTGGTAAAGTTGTGGTGAAATGTTTGAGATGTTTAGAGATTCTCTGGTTACGTTTTGATGGCCTTTCATAAAATGTAGAAAAATTCTGTTCTGATAAAAATGTGTTGAAATATCAAGTTTATATTCTGGTCTGGTGAGAGGAGCAGCTCATTACAGCCAAATACAGAGTGTCTGAAACTCAATCTTTAACGTTTTTCCTCTGATGAACCACAGCTGCAGGACATTCAGTCCAGCAGACAAGATGAGGTCATACCTACATCACTGAACACTTGTTACTTTGTGAAGTCAATTAAACTGTTTATTCTGAATCATTAAAAAACAAACAGTGCTGGACTTCCCAGCTTCCATTAAAAACAGCCATCATAAAAACAAAAACCTTAAGCCCAGCTACATTTCACACTCATTCTGCATTTTTCATATATTMTACTTTAGATGAAACAAAAACTCACCTTGCGGCATTTAATCAAATGATATGGAAACCTGCAGGACCGGATGAGATGGTTTTTATCAAAGGGACACTGCAGAAGTTTGTCTGGGTCATATTTTCCTTTTTCAAAAAAGAAAAGAAAGTTCAAACATTGTTGCTAATGAAAACAAAAATAATTTTAAAAAGTCTCAAAGCTCTGGTTTTACCGTGTTCCTCCTTCTCATGTTGGGTCCTGGTCTCAGGGATCAGCCTGCAAGGGTCGCTGGTGGTCCCGAACCTGATGGTGGCCATTTCTTTATCTTTGGGAGGCCCAAATCCAACTTACTGAAAAAAACCAAAAAGATATGTAGAAATGGCAACTCTTCTCAAGTACCTCTAATTCAAAAGAAAACAATAACACGAACTGCTGAGCAACAATAATGCAAATCTCTCATTTTGATTCAAAAATCCCTGTAAATAGTAGAAACCATGAGAATAATGTTTTAAACCAGCTGGCTGCGGCCTGCACTAATGAGCCAATTTAGATTAGTGTCTGTCTGAAAGCAAACTAAACTGCTTTAAAATTAACTAATGTTATCTTTTTAACACATTTTAGACAAAACAATTAGTTAAACATCTTTAACTTAGTGAAAATATTGGCTTTCTGCCAGCTTCTGCGAACATCTATTTTTTTTTTTTTTTTTCAGAATCAAGATGAAGAACAATGTAAAACAGAGTACAGTAAAACATTTGCCAGGGGGTTAGGTTACAAGCTTTGAGATAATTTTAAAATAACATTACACAAAGACYTGAAAAAGATCACATAAGGCACAGGTTTTAATAGCCTTCGTATTTATAGAGTGTCTAATAGTTGTAATATATTGTTTGACTTCGTTTAAGAAAATAGAAAGAAGAGGTTTTTGATTAGTGTAGCGGCATTTGTGAATATGCTATTTGGCTAAATATATAATAAGATTGATAATATAAAATTGTTTTTCTTTGGTAAGTGGATGGTC